GATGTCCGATATTCAGTTTTAAGGCCGATACAGGCCGATACCGATTGGGGGCCGATTATATCGTGCATCCCTAATAAATTTCTACTGGAGAGCTGGTGCAACGGGATGATACCCGAATTCCACATATGAGATGGATGCTACTCTCTTCAACAGCAGTTAAACTTTTCTAATTTGAATGTTTGTCACACTTGGTATTAAGAAGGTAGCATTCAGTCAGTTGTACTAGTGTTTATGGGACAATTTGTTGTGATGGTGTATATATGAACTAATTAATATAAGCCAGTGTTTTTAACCATGACCAAAGCAGCCATGAAGGATATGACGGTCTAAAAACTGGAACCCATTTGCCTCAGACAATGTTTTACTCCAACTCATTAAATTTGACTTCTGAGGATAATAAAACACACCAATATTTCCTGGCCTTTTACCCACTGTGATTAGTTTTAACCTCAATCTGCTTTTAAAATGGAACTTTGGTTGTTGCCTAATCCTGTGTATTTTGTTGTGAACTATCTGTTTTGTTTGTTTTATTGTACAGCACTTTGTTGAACATGTTTCTGTTTTAATATGCTTTATAAATAAGGTGGTATGGTTTGCCTGTGGCTTACTGTCAACATTGGTTAAGCTGGAAAATGCTTAGGTTATAAGAAACTTTGTTTTAGTGTATATTGATCTGGAAGGCATTAATCTATAAAAGGGAAGCTTCAGGGAAGAATACCTTTTTTTCTTTTCTTGTAGCTTGCTATAAACAGACTTGTCTGTCTACTGGATTTAGCATAAAGGAGTGCTTGTATTTGAAACTATATTTAGCTATACAAACAGGGTTTGATCAAACATAAATGTTCACAGGGGATCAAAAATAAACAACAGTGCCCAGAAAAAAACATGGATGTAGCACTTTTTGAAGTTAATATTTTTCTGTTAGATAGAGGTCAATGAAACAAAGATTTTCGACTTTGACAAGATGAATACAGCACAATAATAGCACAGATTGATAAATTCATTGTGATGTTCTGGCTTTCTTAACACTGGCTGACAGCAAAAGGAAATAGAGGGAAAATCTGCTTTAATTAACAGAGGGTATTGGAGATAAAAGAACAGATGCCAGGCCACCGCATCTAATAAAAAGTGTAGTTTCCATGTCTGGTCTAATTTCATTTAATCTGAAACTGTCTCTAGCATTTAATTCTGCAATTTCTTGCTAAACTGAAAGAGCGGATTTGATATAAGGGCACGTGGGTGACAGCAAAAACAAGAAATGATCAAACAAACTGCTTTTAAAAGATAAATAAATAAAAACCTCTGAGTGATGAGTACAGAGTGATGAAATTTCTTTAAACTAGCTGATTTGCATGAACATGAGCCGAGTATATGCCGACAGCACAGCAATACAAGGCAAGAGCCAACAATGAAACATTTCTACTTTCTTTTCTTTAATTGTAAAGAACTTATTTTGTATAGGAATACCTTGGTAAGAAACTTTTGTTTGTCTATTTTTACAATAAAAGCAATGCCACAAACTTTAAAAAAAGAGAAAAATGAGGCCTCTTACCCGATGATAGGGTGTTTGAATCCCAGCTTGGCAGTGGTCTGCTGTATCTCCTTTTCCAACCATGCCTGAGGGCGTACAAGATACTTGACGAACTGGGACACCCACCATACAGAGGGGTCACCATGCAGACGATGCAGACGTGGAGCCAGGTCCTCCGGGATTGCCAGAGGTAAGTAGGGGGGTCGAGGATGTAGGCTGTCCACAATGGGCAACTCCACAACTTGAACGTCCTTATCATTAGCCTCCCCTATACAGAAAAAAAATATTATGTAAGATCAGGAGTTTGAAGCTCAGAATGTGTGCTGTGGTATTTGGCACAAAGATGTTAGAGGCAGCTCTTTAAGGTTCTGTTGGATAAAGTGGGGCCTTGATTAATCAAACATTATTTAGATTTTTAGATGAGTTATTACAGTTATTAGCGCGCCAGACTGGAGTTATGACAGACAGCCCGGGCCACAGGCGGCTACGCTCTACTCTTTCTATTCATTAGGCTAGCTAATCTGAATCGTTCAATTCCATTTCGAGAGCGAGATCATCTTTGGTAGTAGCACTAGACATCTTCCAGGCAAGTGAGTAAAACAGTGATTTGCCAACATGTTATGAATGCTGGTGTACCATAAAGAATAAATTATGAACAGTTTAGTTTGTGCCTTCAACTCGTTGCCCAAAGGAAGACGTTACTTGGATCGAACAAAACCGAATATCTTCGGAACAGCTCCAAATAACACAAAACTCTTATGGGTGAGTAGAACATGATGTAATAACGTAAAATCAAGGGCCAATGCAAAAAAATAAAAAAATAAATGGTTTTCCCCTTTAATCTAAGATGGCTGTTAAAAACAACACCGTGACATGTACACGACACTCTAACCCTTCACATTTTTGTTCTTCACAGTACTGTGAACTGTGTTTTCCTTTATTTTTCATTCAGACTTGCTGATACTACTGTATCTTCAAAAGTTATTTGACTAAAAGTTGCATGTCTGTTGGATCAGACCACAAAGCCTAACCTTTGCTCCCTAACATGCATCAGTGAGGTTTACCCCGTCATCAATTAACTAGTAAGAAGACCCACAAGACCTCCTGCTTTGGAAATGCTGTGATTGATTTTTCACATCAAAGTTAACGAACTATATACCTTGTACCCTGTATAGCTGACCCACCAACAGGTACTATGCAAAAGACATAATCACTTTTAGTTACTTAAGCTGTCAGTGGTCACAATGTAATGCCAAATTGTTGCGTATGTTATTGTGCAAACTTTGAAAAGTTAAATGATGAACTATGACCTTCAAATCAAAAAGAATTGGGGTAATGACTAAACAAAGGTTGAGGTAGAAGGCTGACACTTTTCCCTAGGAGGAAAAGAAAACAACAGAAAAAGAAAACAGAAAATCTTCATCTCAGCACACATGTACAATATGTAATCAGATTTTACAGTTTTGTTCAATAGCAGCCATTGTGTTCATCATATACAACTTTAATTTGTTCTTTCTGACTTTTTATATTTCCATAGTTATTTGTGTTAAATTAACGTTTTGTAAAAAAAAAAAAAAAAAAAAAACATTACTTGGCAATAAATACCTTTTGATTATGAGGTCATGTTCATTTCTTCAATTATTTTTCAGATGTTATGGGTATGACATTTCATGTCATTGGGTTACATGACAACCAGCTATTAAATTTTTTTTTATTTTTTGTATATTTCCGTTTTACAGCTACATGAAGTTTTATTTACAATTGTTGAATCCATTTGTACACTTTTTTTTTCCTGATATGCACATTTCAGTGTAAAAGCCTTTTACTGATTTGTGGATTTCCGAAACAGCTGACTGCAAATGTGTTACAAGAGGACAGACAACACCTCCAGCTATCGGGCATTCATGCAGGGCTCACTCTAACTATGATGTGCCTGCGGTGTGGAAGCTGCAAGGAACTAAAATCATTTAAACAAGTATGTACACCCACATTAGCCACAATGCAGGGTAAGTGGGGTTACTGTGGCTGTGTGGCTTAATGGAATGATTACGCAAGAGGGAGTATGGTTGAATGCTGCACCAGCCCCTGTATCACGCTCCTGCATTTCCTGAGCAAACAGGAAAGGTCAGGCACCAGAAAGAAAAGAATAAAAGTAAATATTAGAATAAAATCAACCCACCACTTTAAAATGGAAACATGAGGAAAAATACAAGTCTGCAAATCTTCAGATTGTGTTCAGATATCCGCATTCTACATTTAATGCACAAAAAGATACTGAAACACTTATTAAATTTCACGATGTTTTAACTTTACATCTAAATTTTGTTTGCAATTGATGCACTAGAACAGGGGTCGGCAACCCAAACTGCTTAAAGAGCCATGTTGTAAAAATGTAAAAGTCTTATATAAGCCTTGTATGGCAACACAGGCTCTAAGTATATTAGCCCACTATAAAAAAGGACTATGTTGGCTTAAATATATAATAAGCATTCATGATTAAATGTTTATCCTGGAGTAAATGTCACATAGTAGCATGAGGTGAGGGAGGAGCAGTGAAAACTCTCACCTTGAGTCGCTTCACCACTCTTAACCGCACGGTTTAGGTTTATTTGCATTTATGAAATTATTGAAACACAATAAACAAATCTTTCTATGGTGGACGTGGTTCGGTTGGGGGGAGTCGATTGAGTCACGAGGAAGCAAGCAGGAACTGACATCCATCAGAGCAGAGCTCCCTAACCCTGAAATCGGACATCCTCTGTCACAAGCGTTCCTTGGTGTTTTCATTTTGAGGATTTGGGGAAAAAATTGAAGAATGTTCACATACCTGCATGAGAGTGCTAGCTGGTCAATCTGTAGATGGTTTTCCATACTTGAAACAAAACTAGTTTTTAGTGGAGTTTTGAGATCTAATCCACACTTTTTAAATCTATCTTTGTTCCCCTCTAATCTATCCAGAAGTTCTGCAATCACACTTTTTCTCTCACTCCCAACTTTGTGGTCGGCTGCATATTTAGCTTGCCTTCCCTGGAAATGCCTTTCCAAATTACTCTTACTTTTGACAAATTACAATGCAAAACTGCAGGCAATCCTTCCGCATTGGTAATGAAAGCAAAAGATTCGGTCCATCTTTCTTTGCATCCTCTGTTCTCATCAGGTATCTTCCTTTTTTTCCCTTTTGGATGCATGGTCCGCATGGTTGTACGTCCTTTACTAAAACTAATAGAAATTGGCTTTTGGGATGTATGGCTTTGTTACGCCCTAATTTTTAACAGTAAACTTCCCTTAAATGTACCAAATATCACAAGCACGGGATGCTAAAGTTTGAAAAATTGCATTTTTGCTGCTTTAAGCTCCACATAAACCAATCAAGAAAAGCTGATCTATTAGCTGGCAGGGAGACAGACACAGCGCTGCTGATGCAGAGCGTTATGATCCCTCCAATGAAACTGTTTGTTAACGCTACTTCCTGGGGATCCAGTGACATCGCACAGCCAGTATATGGGGGTCTGAGCGCCTAGGACAGAGAAATTATATTATAAGCAAGGATCTTAAATCTTTAAGGGAGGAGGATCTTGATGAACTGACTGCACAGACAAAGTGTTGAGGTGGACCTTCTCGCATAAAAATATATTAAAGCTACTTTTTACCCAATGATCACATCAAAAATAGCAAAGCCACTGAATATAGCAATGCCATTGAACACAGGAGCAACAGAAGCATCACACACTGACCTTTATCTGTACAAGCATAAAAAATTAAGCAGCAGATGCTTTTTTTATGCTCAAATCACGGTATGAATGTATAAAAGTTAAAGTATTACATGTCCTGATTGTTTGAATTAACCTATGAAACATAATATTGTACCTAAAAATGATCTCATGTCTTCCTTATGAAACTTCCACCTCCAGTGAAACACATATCCTTCGCTTAATCAGGACAAAAGTAGTGTTGTAACAATGACAAAAAGTTAGCTGCATTCCACCTCAAAATGCAGGAAATAGCGTTTCAAAGAGTCTAAATTTCAACATTTTCCGGAGGAGGATACCACCGGACCCCTGTACACTGCATAACGGCTAAAGATGTGATACACCAAGGTTTACACCCTATGAAATATTCCTAGCTAAAAGCCTGCTTCAGTTGAAGCAAAACATCTGTCTCTATCAAGAACAACTGATGCAGAATTGATAAGTAGTCTGCAGCACTGAAAAAATTTAGTGCATTGTTTCACTCCACTTCAAAACCACCCTGTCCTCCAGCAATACTGGACTGATTTAATTATATTAAATAAACTGATTGAGACATATTGATGAAAAATGCCTAATCTTGAAGGACTTTGATGCGAGGGAGGAAAAGATTCTGTCCAAGTGTAAAATAGTTTTGGATTGGTCAACTAATAGAATGTAGTTATTTGTGAGATTTGCAGGTAATTTATAAAGTATGTTTTTATATAGGAATTCTCTTTAATATGTTATAATTAGGAGGACTGGTAAAGTAGTTCCGATTACTTGGCTTTATGGCTTCCATCTGCCCTTCCTCAAAGGCCACAGTAATCTCTTTACCAGCTGAACAAAGAAAGGGGCCTGAATAGAAGGTAAGGGAGGTTGGCGGGTAGTCTAAAACTAGACAACCCAAGGGATGTGCCATGATTGGAAAAAGCCCCAAGTAGAAAGCTTGACAAGAGCAGATTATGAAGGTCAGCCCTTTGGATCACACAGTGCCCTGAACTGCCAGACCCCCCTGACCATCAAGGCCAATTGTGTGCACTACAATACATAAGTACAGAAGCTATGCACCTGCCTGTCAGATAAAAAAAAAAACGTTGAAAGCATGAACATGCATGCAAACTATCCCTGCATCTAGCTCTGTAAATTATTTCATGTGCACAAACTCTTATGAAATACAGTTTATGTGGTCAGACAATGATAATCTAAGTGGGTCAAAAAAAACAGCAATAGACACCAATTGTATGCACACTCTTAAACTCACACAAAGAGCTCCACTTAATCACATCTTGCCAGAAGGGATGTTCCTGGCAGACAGAACCTACACCCCATTTAAAAACCAAGCTGAGTTTTTGTGTGTGTTGTGTGTGTAGAAAACCCTTGAATTATGTAAAAAGACACGTTTTTAGGCCTGTGCTCCTCCAGACTTAAGTGACTTTCACACACAGGTTGTTGCACAGCTTCAAATCCCGTCTGCAGTGGATAGCACTGTTGTTTAACTGCAAGGAGTTCCTACTGTAGGTTTGATTCCCAGACCAGTGTC